TGGTGCTCATTGTCAATAGGTAAAAGACCGACTGCGGTGGTCAGTTGGAAAAAGTTTGGTAGTGTCACCTGAGCAAATGTCCAATGGCAGCAGCAACCTGGTGGAGGTCTAACAACAACGACTGTCCTGCGAGGGTTTGGTGGTGGTGATCGACCAGCGATAGTCTCATGGAGGTGATCAGATAGAGGTTTGATGGCGACAACCAAGCGGAGATCCGATGGCGATGGCTTGGCGACAAGAGTTCACTGGTGTTGGTGCTCAGGTGGAGCTTTGTGATTCTTCAAGCATCAGAGTTCTGTTGAATTTCTAGCCAAGGGTCCAAGCCATCATTCATGTGATGAGTTAGGGTCTATTTATATATTTTTCGGAGTGGCATGCCCCACGAATATGGAGAAAATATATAGCACTCAATTGGATGACCTATATTGATTCCATTGATTGTAGGTTATTTCTTTTGCATTCAGGCACCTAAATGATGTCAAAATCAAGCGATATTGGGCTCATTAAATTCGTCTTGTCTAGCCACCCGATTCGACTATAAAGATGCCAAATTTGAAGATCATTTGGTTATCCAGTTAATATTTTAAAATTTCCAATTGTACTTCGGACTCTAGATTTGGGCTCAGATTGGACTATTTTTAATATCTTTGGGTTCATCATATCAAGACACTCAGTTTGACTATAGGTTTTCTATAATCAGAGTTTTGATGGTCTTGTATTTAATTATGGAAGTTTTCAGTTCAAATATTTCTCTATATTTGCATCCAATCAAGGCAATTTTTGGTGATTTATCAAGTCTAAACTTTAAGAGTTATTTGTCTTCTCTATGTTTCATACAAATCGATGGTATAATATATAATTCCCCTAATACCAAAGTACTTGAATCATATATTGAAATGAAAGATGAATATCCATAGTATGGGACTTGGTTATTCTTTTAATGGTAGATACCGATGTATGGAGAAGAAATTGAGAGTGAGAGAATGAGGGTATTGATTTTTAAGAGAAATAGGGGGAATTTTGAGAAGTGTTAGGGATGTAGGTTGGTTGAATAGGACTAATTGAGGCTTTTTTCTAATGGTTGGAGGGATAAGAGGAATTTATAACAAATACTTAACAGAAAAGGTGTGTTGGTTCTAAGTTCATTGGAGATGGGAAGGTAGGTAAGAGAGAAATGAGGCAAATTTTTGTGGTGCAATGACATGAGAGAAATGGGATAGAAATTGGAGCAAAAAAGGAGAGAGAAGGCTAAAATAGAGTAGAGAAAAAAATATTTATGTATAATAAAGTAGGGAAAAGCTGAGCAAAACATCTAGTGCGAGAAAGTTTAAAACAAAACCCTTCGTTGAATGAATACTATTAAATAAAATAAAGCTGGAAAAAGCTGATCAAAACGTCTGGTGCAAGAAAATTTAAAAATCAACCTTTTCATTGAATGAATACTAACTTTTAATTTTATATTAAGGACCGTTCAATTTTATCTACTTGTTAGTTATGCGGAAGTTTGAAATAAAAAATATACTAAAATAATTAATAAATCTCTGTTAATTTCTTGAAATTGAAACAGGCTATCCTAGTTATGTAAAACTAAAATAATGAATAAAAAATAGAAAAAAAGTAGAACTAAATTATTTATGGCATATGTGAATACTACAAAAGGGGCTCAAATTGGGTTATTTTAAAGCTTGTTCTTGAATAGAAAAATAGTCTAAAACTATTGCAATAAAGAAAAAATAGTATAGTTAGGTGTAACAAATACAAGTAAAAAAATGCAAATCTATTTATAGGGATTTGGTCTACCAGGCCTACTTCCACTTCCCAATTTTTTTCTCTCAAGATTTTCATTCATAATCTCATTTAGAGAACCTCTTAAAAAACACTACTTAATGGGTAATTTTGCCCCTCAATACTTTTACTTCAAGTGAGAACTAGCAATTACTTGCACACTAGGCTAGGTTGTAACATCATAGAATCGACCACTTCTAACAAGCCATTAGGTATATCATTTTGGTGGAAAATAATGAATACCTTGAGATATTTAATCTCCTTTACAACTAGCACTCACAATGCACTCAAAATGAAAATTGCAAGTGGAGGAATACAAAGCTTTGAGAAATAAAAGAATGACTTTTGAAGATTGGCTTTAAGGCTTCCATTTTCATGAATCTCATAACCTAGGGTTGCCAAAGGTATATATAATAAAAACCACTATTAATCACATTCTATTACAACATATAACCATTGTGAAATACTTAAATTATAACCAATTAGCCGTCTAAAAGAAATAAATTAAAAATTTGATCTTTTAATTATTGTACTATTTGATATAAATATTGTGGTATGACCAAGTCGATTTAAAATAGATAATAAAGATCATATAATATGATAGACATCGTACAATATGATCCATAGATGGATCCAACTAATTAGATTGATTTGATTGCAACTGCTAGGTAAATGCTCGAATTCAAAGTAGATCGTATCGTACGATCAATATCGTATAGTATTATTTTAGGAAGTCATAAAGATTAACATTTTTAACAAATAAGTATTATTAATTTTAATATGATTATGTGTGCTATTAATTTTTTACTTAATCAACAAATCTTTAATACAAGTTTACAAGATTCAAACATAACAGTAAATTTATGAACTTTAAGCTATGAATTTTAGTATGATGAATTTGATGCACTCGAATTGACTTGACATCCGCTTCAATTTGATTCAATTGTGTTTCAACATCATTGATTTATTTTTTCATGAGCCATTGATAAATTAACTAACACGAGTTCATACTTTAATTCATCAGCCTTGACCAAATTATATTTGTGATCATAAAAAAAATATTAATCACGGAAGCTTATGGGATTATCAATCTCCCCATTTCTCATATGACAAATATACCTTGGTTTTACATTTTTTTAGGGAAAATATACTTGTTTTTGCGTGTGTGTTGTTTGTGCGTGTGTAAAAATAAAAAATATATTATAATTTATAAAGAGAAATGCATCATATAGAAAGAAACCTGTTAAACGCTAAGTTGTAGCAAGTTACAAAAGTAAACGCACCATACAGGCAAATTTGGCATAGTTATTCAAATGAAACAAACAATACTCTCCTCATGCACAAATATAAGCAAATAAACTAAGTTCTAATTGGTTCTTGATTTGGTGGTTTTTGGCTAGACAAAAAATCTCTAATATAGTTGAATTGGATTTGGAGCCACTCATGAGCTTCATCCTGTTTTTGTTGATTTTGCCACAATTTTTGTATTAGAATTAAATGAGAATTTGAGTTTTAACAAGACACGATGGAGAAAAGGATTCATGTAGCCAATCCCATGTAGTGGGATAAAGGCTTGATGTTATTGTTGTTATTGTTGGGTAATATGCTGATAAAATTTTAGCTCAGATATAGCAAAATGTTCAGTCCAGATATTATGAGGTCTCATATTGCAATAGGAGGTGGTTGTGGAGTACCTTGATGTGGTTATTGCTCTGCTTCTGCTTCTTCACTACTACTGTCGAAATACCTATCTTTCCAGTGCTTGATATAGATATATGGTATGAGTGGTCAGAGAAGGGAATATGAATTTGATTAGGTTGCTGGAAATGCATTATATTATATTTGACTTCCAAAGTATATTAAATGACAATCAAGACTCAAGACTCAAATTAGGTCGACATTTGACCTTAGGATTCCAAAATTTTGTCAGATGCTTGATGCAGTGTCTGAATGTGTCTGCTATATTAAATGAGTGGTAGAAGGGAACATTAATATGATTTGATTTCTCGAAATGCATGATATTATGTTTGAATCTAAAATATAAATGACAACCAATACTCGAATCAGGTTGATGTTTGACCTTAGGATTCCTTATAGATGTCAAATGTTTTATGTAGTGTACGATTGTATCTATTATGTTAAATTCTTGACAAGCCATATAAAAGTAGGTAAGCAGAGAAATGAGTGGTGTGATATTCATGCTATCTCCTACTTTTGGAATGACATTATGACGCAACATATGTTTAATGCAAGGTTTAAAAAGGAGAAATCGGGAATCGAGGCATTTTGTCTCAACGAGGCGAGGCATAAGCCTCAAGGCGGATCGAGGCGTAAGCCTCAAAACAGAAAAATATAAACACATGAACTTATAAAGAATTCATAAAAAATGACAAAAGTAAAATAAAACATCAACATAATTATTTGATTCATCCTTATAAAGATATAAACTACAATTCCTAATATTAAATATTATTATAAAATGAAAAATTGAAATGAGATTCAAAATAAACACTCATTTAAAATTTAAATACATCATAAATATTATAATCCACGGCAGCCTCATTCCTACTTTCATATTCTTCATAATAGCCCTTGTATGTAATAATTATATCATCCTCGAATTCTAACTCATTGTCATCTTCTAAATATTTTTCAATTATAATGTTTATTTTAACTCCTCATATTAATTAACATTGGATTCAGCGTAATATAAATTTTCATTTTTCTCATCATCAAATGCATGCCTCCATTTTCAATTTTAAATATTTTACTATTTTTGTTAGTATCCATTCATTGTTAGAAAATATATTATAAAAATCAAATGATTTATTTCATTCTCGGTTATTTGTCTTTATAATTTGAAGTGTTTTTCTTTTAAGTTTTTATTAAATATAACACAATCATTCAACCAAGTTCATTCGTCTATAGCTAATTTGTTCATTCTCTTTGTATAATAGAATAAAGTATATATATTTTTAATAAATATGTATACTAAAAATTATTAAACTTAACTATAATGAGGTGTTGCCTCGAAACACCTCAAGGCATTATACCTTGAGGCATGCGCCTCATTTTTCAAAGGTGTAAGCCTTACTGGCTCTAGCAAGGCTTAAACCTCGAAGCGCTCATTGTGCGCCTCAGTTCGAGGCGAGCCTCAAGGCATGCACTTCAAACGATTTTTTAAACCATGGTTTAATGACATGAATTTATTGCAGGTCCACTCAGTTGAGGTACATGATGGGATAAAGGTGAGTTCTGAATAATAGAATTTGCATACGTCCAGTTAGATGACACAAAATAAACATTCTCTTGTCAACTTCTGCGAATTTGCCTCTTTATGTTTCAATAAATCTAATATCATCCTGGTTTTCCTTATTCAAGATAATTTTAACTCTTTTTTCCTAATGCTACCAATGATTTATTTTGATTTTACTCTAGTTCTTTCTTAATTTTTTTCATCGCAGTTATCCAGTTTTTTTTTTTTAACTGAAAGATCTTTTTTTTTTTTGGTATTTTTTCCATCTTGGTAAAATTTGCATATTAACCATGTGCAGTCAAATGTCAACTGCTACTTACGTTTTCTTTTGCGCCATTGATTTTTTCATTTAGGCTGATAGTCCGTCATGGATGATGCTGAGGCAGGACATTTTGAAGGACAACCATGAAGGTACTAGGGCTGCTCGAACATTCCATGACTTTGCTGAGAGCAATTATTTGGCCCATCTTAGTTTTGTACGAACCTCTGTTAAGACCTGAAAGGTAATTTGCCATATGGGAAATCTTCTACGATGCCATCTCTATTTGCTCAATTCATTTAGTCAATTTTTTATTTGTCTGTAGTTTAATATGCTGTAGAAATTGCTCGGTAGGGTTCAGACTTGATGAAAAGCACTCGATCCTGTCAGTTCATTTTTTTAATAGTTAGATGACATTTATTTACATAGTTAAAACTTCAACTTTGGGTGGCCAATTTGGCACTCTCTGTTCATCTTATTTAGATATCACGTCTATTGCAAACTTTTCATTAAGACATGCCAATCTGGTTGACTACTTCATGATTGAAATTTTGTTTACATTTTTTTGATTTGGTGCCTATGAAGATATTTAGATCAATTAATAGAGAAGCAGCCAGTGCTGTCCTTAGGTTGAGGAATTGTTTGATAATGGTTTATTATGGTGGATGATTCTGCGGCTTGTTTATATAACAGAATGTTACGCTATCTTCATTCACTCCTGTATGTCCTAAAACCAGGTTGAGCAAATCGTGATTTTGTATCTTCGGGATGGGGTGAGTGGGATTTTGAATTGGCACAAGCAGGGATCAAGTGCAAGTATCGGATAATTGCCTATCAGAAATCTTCACTATACATGCACGTGTACATGAACCACCATTAGTCTCCTAATAGCAATCCTGCAATACCTGCTGATGTACAGGAATATCATGAAAATTGCCCACTATAAGAGCCACATGGGCTACAAGATTCCGATAGCTAGTCTTCGGTTTCTGGAACTAGACAACTACAAAACCAATGCCACATGGGCTTCAGGGACCAGATAGATGGTGTTCAGCTACAGGACTAAAAAACACCAAAATATGTTAAGCTAATTGCAATTAATGCCTATCCATGTTATAGGAACCACCTTAAACAAGTTTCAAAATTAATTAAGTCCAATTTAAATTAATCTATAAGAATGCAAACCCCAGAGTAAAAATAACAAGAAGCTTAATCCAATTACTTTAACCGAACATGATGAGGTAAGCCAAGCATTGAAAAATCATGTTGGGGGATTAGAATATGTTTTTTGTGCAGCTTCTTAATGAAGATCAAGATTGCGAAAGCAAAAGATCATGACAGACATTTGATGCCTTGAAAAGAGACGAGTTTAGCATATGAAGGAAGATCAAGGCAGGTGAAGAGAGAAGAGATTGAGAAAAAGAGATAAATGAATGCCTTAAGGGTAGGTAAGCTAGGCTAAAGAGATGGAATATTATGATTGGAGATATAGGGAGTTGATCTCTAGGGTCCCAATAAAAAATAACTTTATTCTATATCAACCACCCAAATTATAGCCATTAGCTTGTTATATTTTATAGTAGCTTTCTTGTTGACAATCTAATATAATAGAAAATTGACAAATAGGACCAATGACATGAAATAATACTGATTAAATTAACAAACATAATAACTAACAAGTGAAATAAATTTTTGTGGTTGCACAGAATTCTGCTCTGGAGAGTTGGCATGCTAAATGAGGAAGAATGGGAGGTTTCTGATTTTTCTGTTAAACTAATTAAAATCGTCCTGTGGAAAATTCATTTGAGAAGATTGTTGAAAGAGAAATCCTAACTCAAGATGGAGGTAATGAATGAGAAAGGCATCATAGGAACATGAAAAAGAGAAGAACAAAATCTTCATGCATAAAAAATAGTGATAGAAGACTCTCATCATACATTTTCATTAGCACATTTACAATCTATAGAAGTATATTGTTGGAGATAGTCACAAAGGGCGTTAGACTAATTTGAATTAATCTTCTTATTGGCTGGGCTGACTAAAAGTTGTTGGCTTTTTTAACTTTTTTCCCTTTTCTTTTCCATTTAGGCTCATGGATGGTTTAGTTTAGACCACTGAGTTGGTTTGACTAGGTTGTGTTAGGTTAATGCTGTTGGGGTAAACCCATTTAGGTTGATTGGTTCAAACTAGTTGGAGAAAATTATGGATGATAAAGTGGAAGGAGATCAGGATGAAATTTGGAATTTATTTTCGAATTTGAGATTTTTGAAATTTAAATGGAGGATAGGTTTCAAGTTTTTGGTGAGCAATTTGTGGATGATATTGCATGGGAAATTTTGGAGGACATAGGAAGGATATGGAGATTATTGTGGTGAATATAGATATAGAATGTTTGCTTAGACACCAAGAATTGATAGGATAGTTGCAACCAGTTTCCAAGGTCTTTAATATTTTAATTTGTTAAATTTTGTTGAATGTTTAATTTTTTTGCTTTTAGTTTGATTTTTATAACAATGATGACTTTTTACCTTTTTTTTTAAATCGTTTTGTGGAGTTTTTGGAAATTAACTTATTGTAGTGGTTGTTATTGGGGTGCATAAAGAAGGCTTTGGATTCAATAATAAAATAAAATTAAAAACTATTAAAGTAACTGCTTAAAAATAAATTGAATCTTGAAAGGTTTTGGATTTCATAATATAGATTAAATTTGTAAAGGAGAAAGTTATGGGAAAGTTTTGGGAATTCATTTGTATGGCATTTGAATTGAAAGACCAAAAAGATTGGGGATAAGAGTACAGGTGATATTATGATCTCTTGAAATCTCAAAAATTGAATCACGCTTTCATTTTTTCAGAACTCCTTTGATTCAATAATTTTCTTCAAATACTAATTGATGAAGAGCAGGACAATGAAAGTGAAGCTCAAGAATCTGATATAGAGGAAGATGGGAGATAAATAGAAAGAATAGATTGAGAAGAGATGAATTAATGCTACAAGGTGTGCGAGTTCAGGACAAAGAGAAAGAATGAACTCTAAGACTTGAAGAAAAATGGACGAATTGGTCTCTGCAGTCAATGCCATATAAAGGATATATCTTTATTTTATAATCCATTATCCTTATTGTGACCCTTCACTTATCATATATTTAATAGTAACTATTATATCATGGACAATAGCAAATTGACAAACAAAGAAGGTGAGATGAATATGACAAATTAATAATACTGACTAAACTATCCACATACACAATACTAAATTGATTTGAGTTGAGCCTCTTATGCTGTACGAATAGTTTAAATATTGGGGTTTTTCCATTTAGGGCATGGTTGGGCTTGGTTGGCTCTATTGGTTAGGTTATTCATGCTGGGTTAGGTTAAATAGGTTGTACTATAATCAATTATGTAGATTGGTTTGATTAGGTTATGATGTTTTGAGGAACTTATTGAAAAAATGGAAAGGGACTAGAATGATTATATGAATTCATCTTTTCTAATTTGTATTTGAGTTCTTAGTTCAAATAGAGGATAACTAATAAGTTTGGAGATTTTAATGGACAAACTTATGGAAGATATTATGGAGCATATTGTAGAGAGAATTATGAAAGATATTATGGACAAAAAATGATAGGATAATTTTGACCAATTTTAAAGTTTGATTTGAATTTTTAATTCAAATATGAATTGAACTTTGCATGATCAAAATTTTAAATTTATTTTTAGAATTTAAATTCAAATTTTCATTTTATTATTATTGTGTATTTTTTTCTAAATTTTGAATGTTTTATTTAATGTTTTTTTGGGAGTTTGTTATAAGTGACAATTAAGAGGCAGTGGCTATTAAAGTTGGAGGAAGAACCCTTTGTGTGTAAATATAATGATAAATATTAAAAATAGTAAAATAATTATTGAAACCACATCTTAAATCTTATAGATGTAGAATTTCATAATGTAGATTGGATGTTGTGTGAAAGTTTGTGAGGATATGTCAAGAGCATATGGAGTAAGAGGTTAATGAGAGTGCAGAGAAGAGAAGAATGTGATGTCATGAACTCATGATCTTTCGAAACCTCAAAATCAAAACACTTTTTTTTTTTATGGAGAACCCCTTGGTTTTTTTTTTTTTATGGAGAACCCCATGGATCTAAGAACTATGTCTTTTATGCCGATGGTGAAGAGTGGAACAACAAAATGGATATAATGATGGTCTATTAAAAACAGTTGCAAACATACTTATTTAATAATATTGATTAAACTAATCGTCATAAGGAGCTTGGCTTTCGTCTCTGCTAGGGTTTTGGCTTTTTCGCTTCACCTTCGCTAGGGCTTTGCCCTAGCCGGCCGGTGCTGGTGATCGCTCAGGGAAGTTTTCGCCGTTCTCTTTTGTTGATTTATTTTCCTTGGATGTGTTTTCTTGCATAATCTTCCCCGTTCTCATTGGATGGCAGTTAATAGGGTTTGTTTGAGAGACCCTAGCTTTCTTTCAGGGAAAAATTGTTCTAGATCTTTCATTAATGCGCTGATTAGGGCTTCTTCGGTAGCTTTTCCTCTTCTTAAGCGTTCCACCTTCCGTGGTATGCCATCTTTATGGATTTCTGAAGCAGAAATTTCCGCACTCGCTGCCCCATTTGAATTCTCGATGGTTGGAAAATTTTCCAACAGTAGGCCTAGCTTGGAATCGATTAGAAGATTTTTCTTTAATCTTAAATTGGGTGGTGAATTCTCTGTGACTATGTTGGATGCGAAGCATGTTTTAATCAAACTTGCGAATGACGTGGATTACTATAGGATTTTTTCACATTATTCCTACTTTGTAAATAATTGTTACATGAAGTTAGTTAAATAGTCTCATTGGATTTATCGGTCTAATGTCTCATTATACCTATTTGGGTATCCTTCCTAATCTGCGTCCTCACCTCTTTACTCGCATTCTTCATGGCCTAGGATCGATTTTTGGTCGGCCTTTGCGTATTGACAATGCTACTTCGGTGGGTTCTTGGCCTTCAGTTGCTCGCGTTTTAGTCAAACTCGATTTTACTTCTGTGTGGATCGGTCCTGATGTCTTGGGGTATGTTCGATCTATGATTTTGGAAGATTTACCTTCCTTTTTGCGATCAATGTAAAGCTTTGGGTCATTACAAAAAAGAATATGGTAGCCTTAAACTTGTTAGGCCTAAACTGATTTCCACTACTGGTGTTAAGGATACTGTGGATTCTACTTTGGTCCCTTTCACTGAAATGTTTCCAAATGTGGATAATTGCAATGATATTGTTGATGTATTACTCCTGTTGTTGTTAATCATAGGGATGATTTCGTTCATCCTGAGGAGGAAACTGTTTCGTTGAATATTAGTTTACCTGAGGATTATGTCGATGAAAATAGAAAGGATGTTAATGGTAATTTGAGTGTTAACATTTGTATGGTTAACCTCACTGATAGTCCCATTGTATCTCCTAATGCAAAAGTGGCTGATGAAGAGGTTGATGTTGATTCTGGCCGTGTGGATTTTGGAGAGCTTGGGTGCCCTGTTGTTGGGAATTCGGGCCTGTCACACCTGTTGAATTGGCGGCTATGACTATTTATTCTAATGCTCCTGTGGATGGTGATAGGGCTCTAATTAATGTTCCTATTTCTATTGTTGATAAGGAAACTTTATTAGCCCAATTTGCTTCTAAAGATAAAATGGGCGTTCAAGGGGATTGGTTAATTGATTATGGTTCAAGGAGGCATGGTAAATGGTTAGATGATGATTATGGGGAGGAAATTATTGAGAAAATTTTTTAAAAAACTTGTCGGCTGTGGCTTGTTGGCAACCTTTGGTAGTACTTCTTTTTGCTCTGTTTGGTGGCCTTTTTGGGTTATGAGTTGATTTGCCCATTTCATTAGTGTGGATTATTATGTGATTCCCTCTTGATGGTCCTTGCCTAGCTACTGGGTGGTTGCAGAAAGCGTGTTTGACAATGATTGAGCCTGACCGGCTTTTGCCTTCATTATTGATTCATGTATCTCTTTTCTTTAGCTGTGTATTTTTAGCTTTGTCCTTTATTGGGCTTGTTTGTATCCTGTCTTTTTTGAATGAAAAAAAATAAATAAATAACAATCATAAGGAATCTTAAGTACAATCACTTCCATCACACAGACAAGTAATGAAAACAAAAAGATGCCTAAAATAAATTACTTGGATGGCACTTATTCCTCCACGCTAAGATGAGTTAAATTGTTCCAAGAGGAAGACTTGCTGGTCCTTGACTGTACTGTTGATCTAGCAAAATTCAAAGTAGAAAAAATTCATTGTTGAAGATAAATTTGAATTCAAATTTAGAAGGGAATTAAAAAAGGTTTATTTAGAGAAAGATGGTTGATTTAAATTAATATTTGAGAGGAATTATGATAGGTTTATTTAGAGAAAGATGAGTAGATGATTGATTTAAATTCAAATTTGAGAGGAAAATATGAAGATTTATATCAGGGATATAAATGCCTTCAGATACAGTGATGGACATATGTGAATTGATATTATTGTTTTGCAAAATTAACAAAAGTAAGATGGATTCATATTTTCCATTTGGCCTCAAAAGAACTTTTATTAGGTCAGGTGACCGGACGTAGAACTACGTGCGATCATCAATAATATAGCGCCACATAGCAACCCGAAAACCCGACCCAAAACCGTCGTGATTTGTTTATTGGTCACGTGTTTTACGCCATTTCGGGTCGCCCCGATCTTAAACGGGCCGGAAAAGTTAAAAAATCGCGGCGTCTTTAAATGTATAATAAACTTTTGGCAGATTATGCTTTGAAGACGTTATACAGTATTTAGGGTTTACAGCACGAAGAGAAAGTTTTCACGAAGGGTTCAAGGAGATGGAAGAGAAGACAACGGCGATTTCTTTGGAAGACTTAGACGATTTTGATGAAACATTTGGCACTTATAATGTCAATGAAGATTTTTCTGTTTTTATATAAGTAATTTCTTATCTATGCAGAGGTTTTACAATATAAATATTTAAAATCTAGTTACGTATGATCATTTCTTTCTGTTTATCCATGAGTATCATATTCGTACCCAGAGAGAAGGTAAGAGTATTGATTGGTACACATATGGTACTGTTCGGTACTTATAGGTATTGCTCGGTATGCTCCTTATTTTTGTTCGTTTACCTCGATAATGGCTACCTTATACCGAGTTTATAGATCATTGGTATTGATCGGTATTTATAGGTTCCTTGTACCGAGCTTTTAGATAAGTACCATATGTGTACCGAGAAAAAAAAATACTACATAAGTCGTTATAAATCGGTACTGCTAGGTATTTATAGTTTCCTTGTACCGAGCTATATATAAGTACAATATCATTATCGAGATAAAAAATTTCTACATAACTCGGTATTAATCGATACTGATCGGTATTTATAGGTTCTTTGTACCGAGCTTTTAGATAAGTACAATATGTGTATCGAGATAAAAAATTTCTACATAAGTCGGTATAAATCGGTACTGATAGGTATTTATAGTTTCCTTGTACCGAGCTTATATATAATTACAATATCAATACCGAGATAAAAATTTCTACATAACTCGGTATCAATCGATACTGCTCGGTATTTATAGGTTCCTTGTACCGAGCTTATAGGTAAGTACCATACGTGTACCGAGACAAAAAATTTCTACATAACTCGGTATAAATCGGTACTGATCGGAATTTAGAGGTTCCTTGTACCGAACTTTTAGATAAGTTCCATATGTTTGTACCGAGATAAAAAATTCAACATAAGTCGGTATAAATCGGAACTGCTCGGTATTTATAGCTTCCTTGTACCGAGCTTATAGGTAAGTACCATATGTGTACCGAGATAAAAAATTTCTACATAACTTGGTATAAATCTATACTGATCGGTATTTATAGGTTCCTTGTGCCGAGCTTTTAGATAAGTACAATATGTTTGTATCGAGCTTTTAGATAAATCGGTATTTATAGGTATTGCTCGGTATACTCATTGTTTTTGTTTGTTTACGTCGATTATGTCTCCCTTGTATCGAGCTTATAGATAAGTACCATAGGTGTATTGAGAAATTAGTTTCGACAAAACTCGGTATTTGTCTGTATGCAGTCATTGCGGTATTGCTCGGAATTAATTGAATTTTTTTTTTCACTGGGGGTTTACAACTCAGAAAAGGAAGCATATGATAAATATTGCCAATATGCTTATTCTCATAGTTTTAGTGTTCGGAAAGAACATCATTCATTCTGGCCAAATTCAATGAAAATAAAATCAAAGGATTTTGTCTGTTCCAAAGCCGGATTCAAGAAGGAGACAGAAAAAAATATGAAGGTCAAATTTCGAAAATCGACTACAAGAACTAGATGTCCAGCTATGGTTAGATTTGCGGTCAGTGAAGATGGAATATGGATGGTGAAAAGATCGGTAGAGAGTCACAATCACGAATTAGCTAAACCGGATGATCAACATTTGTTGAGATCATCTAGGTACATCAGTGATGAAAATGCCTCAGTTCTAAAATCAATGTCTGAAGCTAGCATAAGAACAGTTAATGCATTTTCCTATCTCTATCTGATGAGGTTAGAGGTGTAGAAAATCTGGGATTCACAAAAAGGGATGCATACAACTACATTCAAAAGAAGAAAAGAGCCAAAATTGAGAATGGGGACGCCAATTCGCTAATCGAATTGTTTAAAGACCGGACAGATTCAGACAACATGTTTGCATGGGATGTGCAAACTGATGAAGAAGACAGGTTGGTAAATTTTTTTTGGGTTGATGGGTTGGGGAGAATTGATTACGACTGCTTTGGGGATGCCATAATTTTTTATACAAGCTACCGTCTTAACAAATATAATTTAGCCTGTGCCCCTATTATTGGAGTTAATAATCATTGGCAAAACATTATATTCAGGGTGACATTTCTATCTGGGGAAACAATTGATTCTTTTTCCTGGCTATTTCGAACATTTTTAAAAATTATGGAAAGCAAACATCCATTTACTATATTCACTGATCAGGATCAAGCAATGGCTCGGGCGATAGAAATTGTATTACCTAATACACGGCATAGGTTGTGTCAATGACATATATACAAGAAGGCTCTTTCCAAAATATAGTGTTTTAATACTAACAACAAAGTAAAATGCCTATTTTATAGTTGCTTCAGCAAGTTTAATTCTGAGGAGGAATTTGATAGTTTGTGGAATGAAATGATCAGAGAAGGGAACCTTCAGGGTCATCAGTGGTTAAAAGATCTGTACAGAATAAGAGAGAAGTGGTCTACAACATTCAATAAAAAATGTTTTAACCTTGGTATTTTATCTACCCAACGTAGTGAGTCCACTAATTATGTTTGTCATGACATTTCAAAGGCTACAAGTTCTATCACTGACTGTTTCCTGGGGTTGGAGAAAGTTATAAATACTTGGTGTCGGAATGAACGAGATGAAAATTTTAGATGTAGTCAAACTGAAATACAACCATACATGAAATGTAGTCCAATGTTAAAGCAAGCTGCCAACTTTTATTCCTGAAAGTTATATTCTTTTTTTGAAGAGGAGTTTTTACATGGTCTAGGTGAACTATGCATTGATCATTCTTCACCGGACTCATCAATATTTTCCGTCAAGAACATAGACCACTCTTTTGATTCACACAAGTGGACTGTTATGTTTAATTCTTCTGAAGGAACCATTCAATGCAACTGTGCAAAGTTTGAGATGATGGGTTTATTATATTCTCATTGCATGAGAGTTATGAGGCAGTTGGATATTGTCAATATTCCTCAAAAATATTTTATTCCAAGATGGTCATCTAGAGCTCGGAAAGATTTATATACTTGACGGAATATCCTACCTATGGGAAACAATACGGGCACATCGATTCAGGGTTCCCGTAACATGATTTTTAGAAATTATGTTTGCTGATTTGTATATCAAATTAGCACAGAAGTACAGGGTAATGAGGATGCAGAACAATGTATGATCGATTCTATGAGTGCAATGGCTTTAAATGTTCAAAACATTATGGAAGGGAAAAAAATAAACGCATACTTGAGGGGAGCCACAAAACAATTAAAGATCCTGCAAAGTGCCGGCCAAAGGGAATCTCTAATGCTAGATTAAAGGATCATTGGGAGAAGAGGAAGAGCAAAAAAGTGAAACCCACAGAGAGAAATCCTCCTACAAGCATATATTTTACACCAGGAGAAATAGGAAGTCAGTCGTCCTTTATGTAACTGTTCAGTAAAACTCGATATAACTCGGTATTATAAGATATTACTCGGTATTAACAATTTTTTAGTTTAATTGAGAAATTTTTTGCACTATGGTTCAATTGTAATTTGCACTAAGTCTGACGTTAGCATCTTTTGCGTTTTTTCTAAAACAAATCCGGAATTTTTAGATTACTCGGTATAAATCGGTATAAGCATGTATTACTCGGTATTAGACGATTTTTTGCTTCTTTGAGAGATATTTTGCTATAAGGTTCTATTGTAAGTGCACTTCGTCTGACGTATGCATCTTTTGCGATTTTCAAAAACAAATTCGGAAATTTTAAATTACTCGGTATTAGAAGGTAATACTCGGTATTAGACCGTTTTGTTGCTTCATTGAGAAATATTTGGATATAAGGTGCAATTGTAAGTTGCACTTCGTCGGACGTATGCTTTTTTTTTGCGATTTTCAAAAACAAATTCGAATATTTTAAATAACTCGGTATGACTCGGTATTAGACCGTTTTTTGCTTGATTGAGAAATATTTTACTATAAGCTACAATTGTAAGTTGCACTCCGTCTGACGTATGCATTTTTTTTGCGATTTTCAAAAATAAATCCGGATTTTTTAAATAACTCGGTATGACTCGGTATTAGCAAGTATTACTCAGTATTAGACCGTTTTTTGCTTTATTGAGAAATATTTTACGGTAAGGTACAATTTTCAAAATTCATTATAAATCAAAGCATTGTAATTTTTTCAAAATCACAAAAAAAAAAAAACACAGAAATGACCTATGCAAATTCATATTTTTATTTCATATTGGTACATAAAAGGGCATATGCAAAATTAGTCCTGAATATATGCTTATTAATTTGCCAGTTCTTATGGATATCCCATTGAATAATATCATATTGGATCACTTATCATATTGGATCACTGTTTTCATATATTTACAAAGAAACATTCCACAATCAACACTGTGTCTTGTGTTGGCAAGTTAGGTATCGTTAGGATTGGTCAAGTTCGTATATCATCGTCAAAAGCATTTTGTGTATCAGCGCATAAATGAGATATCTGAAAAGGGAATAAATTTAAAATTTTAATATTCAATATGATGACTCAAATCAAATACAAATTTTACGAGCACTTACAACTTCAATAGCCACTGCCTTGTGAGTGGGTTTGGGTAATGAATCCAAAAATGATGTAGAACGGGTATGGGGATTTGATTTCTATGGGTCTTGAAGAGCAAATACAAAAGTCTAAACAGCAGCTTTTGGTTTTTAGAAGTCTTGGACAGCAGCTCTTCTTGTTGGAAATCCCTGGACAGCAATCCAATAATGTCTAGAAAAGTCTGGACAATGAACGGTATTGTTCCGGAGGGCTGGACAGCAAAACTCCTTGCTGAAAAGTTCAGGACAGAAATCCTAGAGATGGCCAGAAACTTGGACAACAATTGTATGAAGGCTGGGAGCCCTTGGGCAGCATGTAGTGACCTTCGGTGGTGCAGGACAGCAGGTTTCACTTACTCAAACAGCAAGTTTTGAGGCTTCCATAGTGTAGGGATGCAAGGACAGTGGCTGGAAATTCAAGCTGCAGTTGGGGGAAGGAGGAGAAACAGTATCAAGTGGAGTTTGGAGAGCTGTAATGAAAGAAAAATCCCACGGCAAAGCCTGAAGAATTTCAGCCAGCAAAGGAAATTAGAGAAAGGATTTAAGTCCCCAAGACAGAAGGCTGATTTTGGCAAGATTTGAACAGTGCAGGCCAGAGAAGAATTTCGGCCAGGTTTTAGGGAAAGGATTTTGAATTCTTTCCAAGGCACATAGGGCTTAGGGAATAAATCATTGCATTTATTATAGAGGGGGGCCGGTGGTTTGATGATGAGGGAGGGGATTGGGGAGATGAATTGGATTACTTAATTAAGGCTTAAAGGATTAGGAAAGTGTTTTAAATAAATCCAATTTGAATTTGAAATTCAAATTGAATTATAATAGGAAACTTTCCTAAAATAGATCTCTTAAATTAGAAAAGAAATTTCAATTTAAAAATGCTTTGAAATTTGAAATTAAACCTTTCTAAACTAAGAGGAAATAATTATGGCAAGAATTCAAGATGTGATTTGGGTTTTGGAGGGAGGAGGGGGATGATAAGGCCGGTGGCTAGGGGTGAGAGAGGGAGGGAACTAAAGAGGCTTTAATGCTTTCTTAATTTTGGGAGTTAGATTTAGAATGAATTAAGTCATCCTAATTAATTCAAAATCCAATGGAGGGAGAATTTGAAAACTTTCCTAAAATAGATTTTATAATTTATGAAAGAATTTGAATTTCAAATTTTGGGAAATTTGAATTCAAAGAACAATTAAATTATGGCAATCCAAAATTAGGAATTATACAAATTAGGCACTAGGGAATGGGATAGGGTGTGGCCGGCGGTTTGAATGGGGCAGTAAGGGACCGGCGGCAAGGTGGAGATGGAGATGATGTGATGGTGGAAGTAGGGAGAGGATGAAGATGACGATTAGGAACAACAAGAAGGAATAAAAACAAAAACAAAAGATAAAAGGTAAAACCGCGAGCCTTTGACTCTTCCAAAGACTGACGGCTGATACGTTGCCCTCCTCCAAGGGACTTCACGTCACGAGCTCGGACCCCATCATGCGGCTGGTGGAAACTTTGACTCTCCCATAGGGATTTTACTAACGTTCTTCCCAAAGAACACAAGTGCAAAACACAAATTTTTTTATTATAATTCCATCATACCTAATACAAGAGAATGAACCTCTATATATAGGTCTTAAAAGAAATTAAAAGACACATTTGCCCCTTGGGCTTACATAAGACAAGAGGGTAAAAATGGAAATTGCAGAATTAAATCAAAATACACTTAATAAACTAAAATAAAACAAAGTGATCTCGGTCGTCGATCATCAGCTCCTCGGATAGGCATGGACGGTTGGATGTCTGCATCAAAAAATTCCCAAGTTTTTTTTCCTTAGATTGCAGACCAGGAGTGTCCAATGCTTTTGGTTTATGATGGGAACAAGGATTAGATTAACTTTTATAACAGAAGTTCTTGTAATATTAGTAACGAATTTCGTTGTGTCCGTCTGATTACATTGACAGTAATAACCCTGGAATAAATAAGATTTAAATTCAGAATTTGTTAAATGCACAGAAGTTCTGAATTACAAATGATAACTCACCCAATGGAAACTAGAAACAAAGATAAAAGGTTGGTTGAGTCTTGGGATCAATTCATTCTTTTCAGATAATAAGATTTCAAAAGCATCAATATGATTGTTATCAAGCTCTTGTGCCATCAACAGCTCATCCAATTGGCTTCTGTACATAATTGCATTTCCACCGAAGAATATAGTATCACGCCTACATAATTCAGTTGATCTTTATTAGAAAATAACAATATACATATGAATACCGAGCAATACCGAGTATTTATGTACTCGGTACATGTCGGTATTTAAAATATCGACTCGGTACGTGGTGTTCCTACTATGTATTTACCACTAAAAATTGGTAATAATCAGTAAAGCTTATAAATACCTAGAAACACCGAGTATTTGGTGTTCGTACTTATTAATACCGAGCAATACCGAGTATATCTTTTACTCGGTATTGCTCGGTATATGGTATTCCTACTAGCTACTTAACAGTAAAAACTAGTAAGACTCAAACCATTATAAAGTACCGAAAAATATTTATTTGAAAATTATCAATACCGAGCAATACCGAGTTAATTTTTTATTCGGTACAGCTCGGTATTTATATTAACAACTCGGTACAATAAGTTTATGATCGTTGTACTTATCGATAATGTTCAATACAATAACTACATAAATGAATTACATTGCTCGGTACTGATCGATACTCACTTATACTTAAACTGCTTAAGAAAATTATCGATGGAAATCCGTTTGTCTTCATTTATTAATAATCGTCCCGTGTAGTCTAACATTTCCGGTGCTGGTCATTCAATTATTTTCGATTCATCAACTTCATGAACTACAGCAGTCGGGACATCAGCCGGAATAGCAGCAGCAGTAGCCTTCATTTTTAAATTTTCAACTTCAGATGCATTAACATCAACCGGAGCAGTAGCAGTAGTAGTATTTATTTTTAATATTCTAGAAGCGCGAATGCCAGGCTTTCTTCCTCTGCGTGCAGTTTATTTTTTAATATTTTTTCCAACAACAGGATCAGCGAAATGAGCAGAAGTACTCTCATATCTCTTCTTCTTCCTGTCACCTGTTGTGAATGGAGTTTTAACCCGTTTCCATTTTCTGTCATTTCTAAGCTATACACGTCAAGCTATCCCTCCACGATTTGATGAAGGAAATTCCTCATCTTCAGATTTGCTCACAGCCTTATCTTCAAAGGATTCAGGTACTTGGGCATGAGATTGGGAAACAACCTCATCCATCTCTTTCAAATCTACTTCTTTTGTAATTTCCTCAACAATTTGGTCGACAAATTTGGCTAATTTGTCCAAATTGTTATGCTCAGATACAGTTCTTGAAGATAATTTGACCGCACTTTCACTCCGGTGAGCTTTAAAGGAGGCAGGAAAATTATCAGACAAGAATCTCTCTATAGAAGCAAATTTCAATTTGGCATAATCTTTTATGTCAAATACGGCTTGTTCCAATGCCGCAACCCTTCTTTCAAGTATATTATTCGACATTTCAACTGAAACAAGTCTTTTTACCAGTATGTTCTGCTGGGTGATAAATTTGTAAATAGATTGATTAAGGATCTTTAAGTTTGTCTCCTCAGAAACATGACGATTTGGATCTGCATCAGGGGTTGACTCTTTTTCTGTGGTCTTACTAGTGCTTGGCGACTGGCTAGGAGGTTTAGTTAGGCTAGGCATTCTAATTGGACTGTCT